GGACCTGGCCTGATGGGACACCAGGAGGTTAGAAACACAAGGAGAGAGGAAGGCCGAGAGAGAGATGGAGACTGACTGACAGCAGAGTCGCACCGTGAAGGATGAGTGAAAGAAAGGACGAGTGGAGGAGGTGATAGGGTGTGAACTGGCAGAAGGTGTAAATCCAACATGGTGGGGTTTCATTTATGGTTTTTATTACAAACATATGCAAATAACAGAGAAAGACAACTGAAATTGTACATTTACCATATTTTTTTACTGCACAGCCCTTTGCAGCATTAAATCCCCCTCTCTCCCCACTCCTGTCTTTCTTCAGCTGATCCTATCATATAAAAGTAATAAATAGCCTCAAAAAAGAACCATTTTACACCTGAAAAAAATGTCTGGACACTAAGATCAAGCATAAGGGTAAGCCATCAGCATTGGTGATGAAAGCAAAGAAATCAGTCCATGCACTATTAAATTCTCTCCTCCAAGACTTTTGGAGCTAGCTATGGAGGCTCAAGACTAGTAGCCACCACTATTGTGGTTTGGCAAAATATAGAGGAAAAGGTACCAGTTCAGGGTATAAAGATATTTTAGTTGACAAACTTCTTTTTGTTTATTATTTAAACATATTTTTGCAGTTGGAGAACAATGGGAGCCACTGGAAAGGGGCTGAAGAGCCGTATGTGGCTCTGGAGATACAGGTTGCCTACCCCTGCTTTATACAACCCATGGCAACCCTAACACCATGGGTAATCTCCAACTTATCACCGTCCAATTATTATTATACCGAAGAGCTGATATCCTATTTTTATCTAAAGGCATATTATCGTGCCAGTATGATCGGGCGCAGTTCTTTGGCCTGGAGTCATCCTCCCCCTGAGTGTGTCGGCCCAGTCAGCGTGAAGCGAGGTCACAGTCAAACGTCGGCTCAGACTCCGAACATCTCTTAGATATTTTACTTCCCTGTCAAACCTTTAAAACTCCCCTACAGGCACAAAGTCAGCTCGCATTAGTCACACAGTGAAATATCATTTTGCCTCCGTCTGCTCCTCATTTCCCAGCAGGGGTCCTGAGAACAATGAGCTTTAGTTGTCAGAAACAGGACGATTGCTAACAATCCATGCTGTTGCTGTTATTACTCACTGTCCCTTTATTAGCTCCTGCTATTCTCTCAAGCAATACAAATACACCTCTATAAAACTGCGTGACAGGGAGGCATATTTCAGCCAGGTAACAAACCAGGTTCTGTGTAAATGTTCATGTGCACTGACAGGACGTAAGCCACCTCAGATTTGCTATTAAAGGCTCTGAAAGAGAAGCTGTTGTTGGGTGAGTCGTCTCAGACATATTCTATCCACCGCCAGCTGTATTTCTCCCTCAGAGAGAGACAGGTCTGCTTTAATGATAAAGGCTGAGGAACAGTCGTCTCATTGTTTCAGCAGAGCAGTCTGACTTTAGCCCCATTGTTTGAGCTGGAGACGATTCAGAGTAGATTTTTTGGAAAAAAAGGAGCCGAAGCGTGCTGCAGAAACAAGCAAAAACAGGCTGATGTCATGCACAATTCAGGCTGTAATGCGGTTAGTGTCGAAAATGGCACATTATCTCAAATGACCGCAATCATTTAGAGCTAGTTTGTGGAGCTCGGTTTGGTTTTTGCTGCGTATTTAAATGGAGAGACAGGTGTGTTTTACTGGGATCAATAAAGCAGGTTCCCCGCTGACGACCTAGAGTGTGTGTGTGGTTCTAAAAGATGACACCTGAGGCCGACACATGCTGTTTTTTGCCACTGAAGCGTTGAAAAGGTTTATAGTCTTGTAAGGGGGGATTTTCCTTTTTAGGCGGAATTTACAGTAAAATGAAATAAATATCATAAAAAAAATTAAGAAAATAATAAATAATAAGCCTTAAAAACATCACATTGGTTAAAATCTGTGACATGCAGAAACATCAGTGGTGAAAACCGAACTGAGAGTCAATAGCCTCATATTGTGCAATGAAAACTGCCATTTATCTGTGCTAGAACAAAGTACTTAAACAGGCGCAAGACGCTACATCATTTCATGTGGAAATTAAGCAATCTAATGGCAGCGAGGATAAATGAGTCCCCGGTGCGTTTCTTCTCGAGTTTGGCCCTCCAGAAAGTGGCATCAGCTCAAACTGCCCTCTGAGGAGAGCGATCCAGCGCCGATCAGTGGATGCCAGAGAATATCCACTCACTCCTGCTTGCCCAGCTTTCCATTTGCCTTTTTTTTAACCTTCATTATATTCATCTCCCTGTCCCTTTTATTTCATCCTACGTCTATCTTATTATTTTCTTTTTGATTCTCTTTCCATCTTTTTACGCAGCTCGCCGTCCCTTAAGCGGCTTCCTGCTGTGATTAATGTTCTTTTACCTGGAATAGGCTAACTAGAGACAGACACACAGACTCGCTGGTGGACATGGAAACATCACACACACAAAAAACCCAGTCTCATTTAGTTGCCAGGACAGGTCCGCGGGGTTGTCTTCCTGGCGTTGGACACAGTGGTCATCTGTAAGACTCAGTCCAACAGTGGAAGTCCTGCGGAGGCTTCGCTCCAGATGACAGAATATAGTCCCGCTGCTGAACAGTTCCCTCCACAGGCCAACAAACCTCCTGCCCTCCCTGAGCCGTCTCCTCGTCTCAGCCCATCCTCTTCCTGTCTTCTCCGAGACACGGGCTGATAAAACCATCACACCCTCCTCACGAAAGACAATAGAGAGTGAGATGGCGTGGGTTGGTTTTTTGTAAGGTGGATACATGCAAGACAGCCGGGGGAAAAAAAAAAAAGCAGACAGGGCTTTTGCTGAGTGTCACAGCGAGTGAGTGTTTATATTTAGCTGCGCAGCTAATCCATTATGAAGCGGAAAACCACCAGAAACATTCTGAAGTAACTCCTGGCTGGAAGGAGCGTCTCTAAAAATTGAGCCGTTTAGGAGTTTTGAACTTTAACGAGGCTGTGTTTATGTGCGTACACATTGCATGCACACACTCTGCTTCATGCTGCCTGTTTGTGGGCGTGGGAGCATGTGTGTGTATGTGTGTGTGTTTGAGTTTCTGTGCATGAATGTGCATTTGTGTGTATTTATAATTGTGTGTTTGGCAAAGGGGTTCACTATAAAACCATATCTGTCCAGAAATCTAAAGTTGAGTGTTCCCAGTAAAAACATAAGGCTAAATCAGTGCAGCCACTTTAGCCCTGCCGGTGCACTGAGGCCAGGATCGGCCAGGGCCCACACAGCTGAAACCAGAAAGCCTCAGGGGGACCACCGCGGAGAGATACCTGGGTTCTCAGAATACTCTATCTATGAATACAGGAGCCCCAGATAGGCAATGTTTACCCCCAACCTGATAGAAAATATGTTATTTGGCTCTTCCTCACAGTTAGCACGTGGTTTTAATCTTTACACTGGACAGCTGATTTGCATATTGTGTTGGAAACTCTTCGTCCCCCTCGAGGACCCCTGTCAAAGCCTCCATGTCAGCGCGCAACGATTTTATGCAGCTCCCTCGTCTTGTGCCAATAGGGTATGCATTCTCTTTTAATGTTTGTATCATTACTTACAGTGCAAAACAAACAGATTTAGGCATCACAGCTAACCCTAGCCCGTTTACTAGCTCATTAATTCACCCATCATTTAACAGCCATTGTCTCCAGGCCTCCTTAAGCGTGGGATTCTGTCAGTTACCACAAAATCCACACATTAGAGGTGTATCAATAGTGAGCAGGACAGACTGCCAAATCATCATGGCTGTATTACCACACCCTGCCTAAATAATGTTAGCATATCAATGACAACTGAGCAAAAAGCAAGACTAGAAGAAAAGTAAAGAGTTGATTGGCTGCTCCGTAACCTTCAACTTTGATCTCAAGGAGGATATCAAATCATTCCAAATCAACATGCTGAAGTTGGAGTCATTGGTATGAAAGTAGAGTTCCTTTTAAGATTTTATTTAAGTAAAGTATAAAGTCATCAGAATCATTGTTTGAGTTTGAATCCGCCACTGACTCCACCACTTCAGGTACACTTGAAACTGTAAGATTATTGCCTCCAGAGCACCACTCTGCGCCATGTCCATTACAGCCACCTCAGCAGATTGTGCAGCAGGTTCACACGGTCGGAGCTCTCAGCTCTGAAAGCGAAACAGCGTTACCGCAAGCTGCATTTCCCCAATGCATATATAAAATCCAGAATGGCACTAATGTATGTTTTACACGTCTGTCTTTTGGAAATGATGGTTATGTTTTGTCCCCTGCTTATTTTGAGGATCTTTTATTTTCTTTGTGAATTGGATAACCGTGTGTATTCGGTGGAGGAAATGATGAAAATTCCTTGAGGTCAGGTTGTTGTACGGAGAGGTTTTAGTACGTGGTCTGTGCCCGGGTTCATGTGTGTGCACCATGTCTCTGTGAGGTTAGAACGGGCTCCGTACAGGCCACTTTATGTTTATTTGCGTGTTCAAGGCTGTGTAATTTGTGTTTATCTCCCCTTTTGTTTACTGTGGCCGGTGTTTTCTCTGTGCAGCAGATAGTTTGGCCTTTGCTTTGCACATATATCTCTGCTTCTTGTCTTTTTCACCTCCGTCTTCTTCTCTCTGTTCTCACGTATACTGCAGGAGGAGGACTTTCAGGAGATGGTGACAACGGCCCAGACGATGGAGACTCAATACGGCCATCTGTTTGAGAAGGTCATAGTCAACGATGACCTCTCGGCCGCCTTCAGCGAGCTGCGGTTGGCGCTAAAGAAAGTGGAGATGGAGACTCAGTGGGTTCCAGTCAGCTGGACTCACTCCTGAGATCCAGACAGACTGTAAAAGAGGAAAAGGGAAGGGCTTTGACAAAAATATGCAGGTTTTTATCTTTCTATGTCTGCTGTGGCTGGTGTTGGGGGGGTAACGGGAATAAAACAAGACAGCGCCAGACGGCTGTGTCGCCATACCTGAGCTGCCCGGAGCTAAAAATAAGCTTTTTACGTGGGATCAGGTTGGATTTAGACTTCAGCTGTGGTCTGGATGTGGATCACCAGGTCTGACCAGATCTGACAGGGTTGAGGCTAAGGGAGCCCATCCAGAATATGAGCCTTGGACATTGATCTGGGTCTCAGTCTGGGTCACACAACCATAGCTTGAGCTCTTTGGTCCAAACCAGAATGTGGAACGAGCCTGGACCATCACAGCACCAGCAGTCCTGCCAGCACATCAGCAACCGCGCCAACCAGGACTCTGTCTTTAGTGTGTTTATAACATTAGACCATTAGAAACCAAAGGGATTGACATATTTCTTCTTGGTGGACAACTTATATGCATATGTCTGTAAAAGAACACAACCTCTGAGGGGAAAAGGGGGAGAAAAGAAAACATATTTGCCTTCTGTCTTACTATAAATCTGTGCTTCTATAATGCTTCCATGACTGTTACTCCAAACAAAACACTGTCAGGTACACTCTCAAGAAAGGACAGTAATTGTAATTTTATTTAAGAGAAATTAATATATTTTTTAATGTCCTCCAGTCGTTATTTTGAATACCTTTTATAAACATATCTCCACTTTTAAAGCAACCTGATCTCAACTGTAGCCCCCTCTCTGACAGCCCTTTTACACAGGAGGCGTCTCTTCTTTCAGTCAACTGTTTTGATTTCATCACCCTAGTCCAGTTTTCCCCATGCAAAGCATAGAGAGCCATTTTATTTAGGTGTTATATATTCCATTTAGGAGCGTTCTGAAAAGCCACCCTTCATGTGAAGGTGCCCAGCATAACAGCTTTGCCATTTAAAGTCCCAGAACTGGACACTTTTGGCTGTCTGCTAGAAGAAAATGTTCACAATTGTGTTTTATTAGGGTGGAGTCTTTATTTTTATTCACATAAAAATGGCTTCAGCAAGGCTGCTAATAGAGGGTCCACAGCACACTTCCAGGAGTTTAACTCAGAGAAATGCTAAGTAGCCGCTCCTGACTTTATGAGCATTAGAAGTTTATTGCTAATTTGAGTCTCCCATTCCCAGTCTAACTTACTCATTTTTTACTCAGTGCTTTTCTTTTTTTAAGCTTCTATCATAGAGATACTTAACCTTAAGTTCTGGTACATTGATTCTCAGAGCAACTACTCATTACTCCTGGCTGTATAATTATCATTAACGATGTTACAGCTCTCGTAGATCCTTGGTTCTTTGCTGCTAATGTAGTGAAAGCCTGATGAAGAGCAACAATTTACACTTTAAAGGAATAGGTTGCCCTCTCATTTGCTTTCTTTCTTTCATCGACACCACTTTCATGTCTGCGTATTATGTATGGACGTAGAGCCAAGAGGTGATTAGCTTAGCCTAGCATAAAGACTGGAAACGAGGAGCTGTTAGCAGCTAGCCTGGCTCTGTCAAAAGTTTAAAAATAAACTAGCACCACAAAAGTCTTGGTTTTATTCATTTGCCAGAGCCAGAGTAGTCGTTTCCACCCGGAATGCTAAGCTACGCTAAATACCTTCTGGCTCCAGCTTCATAATTAACGTACAGACATGAGACTGGTATCAGCCTTCTCGTTTAACGCTTGGCAAGAAAGCCAATAATATTTCCCACAATTTTAAACTATTCCTGTAACTGTTTTCTTACCTTTGAACAATTGGCCACCATACTGTACAAATCCTGTTTGAATTTTTCTCATACACTAGCTGTATGTCCAACTCAGGTTGCATTGCCCAGATGTTTTCAAGTTCATTTCTCTTACCATTTCCACCTACTATGATATTTATGTATTTGATTTCTGTCCATTTTTAAAAAGTGTAATATAAGTGTTTATGCTCTTCAGTAATGATAACAAACAAAGGGACTTTAACACCCCTCACCCCTTTACATTGTCCCAGGTTTTTTATTCATTTTAGTGTCACATTAAGTTCCCTTTTTATATATTATTTTACTTGTTCACCTCTCCATATGTTACCCCTCTGCCATCTGTTTTATTGATCAGAATCAGATTTGTACAGTCTCCAGAAAATATTTTTAATTTCTTGCTGTAAATGAAATGCTGTTTATGAGGCAAGTTGTATGAATTCACATTATTCTTGATAACTGCTACATTTTATATTAAAGAAAACCCAACTAAACTTGTATTTCCAAGGTATTAAATTAATTCATGTCTTCAACTGGGCAAAGACCGAGAGCAGTGATGTGTGAGGTGGAACGGTATGAGAAAAATATTCCAGTGTTTCTGGGATTTGTGCCCTTGCGTGCCATTTACATCTATCTTTGTTCGGTTTTGAGAAAAATATTCCAGCAACATCTTTCAGCTGCCCCATAGGAGTTCGCTCCAGAGTGCACAGTTGTGTAAACAGACCTTTCATCTTGTAAATGACAGCGCTAGAGAGCAGTAAATGTCAATCACTGGCTGTTTTTCTCACCTATGGACCATTACAGCTGAATTTGATTTTGACAGTATCAGAGTACTTTTCCCCACTCTGCAATCACCTTTAATTTAAATTGTTATTTGGCTTCCTAGTGGCTCAGTCGGCGTGCGTCTGACAATCTGACTCGTCAAATGAAGATGAAAAGTCCAAAAAATAAACTTAAAAAACTATATTCTTAAAAAAATAACAATCTGTCACTGCAGATTTTCACACAACTTGTGTATTCTTGTAATTGTATTCAGAAACTATTTGTCATCATCTCAAGTGCACTTGTCTTTAGCCAAGTTTCCAAGAAATTTAAACGAATTTCCAGAAAATCTGAAAAAGAAAATGCAAATGAATGTGTGTTTCCGACCACTGCTGTAATTCAAATAAACAGTCAAATATTCAGATAAACAGTCGGTGGCGCTAATTCTCCAGTCTTGCACAATTTCAGAGGAAGAAGTGGCAATGAGATGCATGTACCATCTAAAAGCAACGCCAGTCAAACCTTCAAATGAACAAAACAAATGTGGTATGTTTTTTTTTTTGTCTGGAGTTTCACTGATTCAGGTATTGCGGTTTCAGAGCCGTACTCCAATCCCAGTCCACACAGATCGGACTGTTTTTATCTCGCTGCTCACTCAGTGGAACCCGAAGATCACACCGTCATATACATTATTACCATTAATTCTCTGAGTCCTGTTTCCATTTTTGCACTTTGTTGCATTTTTCTTTGCACATAAAATTAGGTGTACGAGTACAAGCTCCTAAAAGACATGATTGGTTGGATCAAGGTTGAAGAATGGGGCCGGAATCCAGTGACTGCTGAAACCACCAGAGCAGTGCAGCCCAATTAAACCTCAGTGTCCTGCTCCAGCTGTCTGCCAAATTACTAACTCAGATGTCACCGGACCTTTGAAAACAGGGGGAGTCAGTGGGGGTGGTAAAAGGGGGCTCTTGAGAAGTCCAGCCTCCAACAAGCAACCCACTGGAGGATTCCACAGGCCTCTGCTTGATGAAGTTCCAGAAAATTCCCCCACCGGTCCAAATCAGGTCACCTAACTTTCGCATGCTCTTTTCCACAAGGCTCACTTTGATGGCTGTGTGGAGCAGGCGAGGGGCGGTGGGGGGGGGGGTTNNGGGGGGGGGGGGGGGGGTTACAGTCGAGGCGAATAAGGACGCAGTGAGGTTGAGGAGGAGGTCGCAGGGAAGGTCAGGAGTAGGTAATGGCACTCACTCAGGCCGAAGGGCGGAACCCGTTACCCCACGTCGTCCTCGCTCTTCAATTCTTTCTGTCACTCTGTTTGTCTTCTTAATTAGGATAACAGTGACGGGGGAGGCTCAAAGGCAGTCGGCTTTACGTACAGGAACAGGGCTTCGGCCCATCAGGCCCTCTGAGCTAAGGCTGAGTGAGTGAGTGAGAGAGTGAGTAGGTGAGAGAGCGAGGTTTTCCCCTCCCAAAAGCCATCAAGCTCAATGACCCATGTTTAACACAAGACAAATGCCACCCTGCGTTGCCCTGGGTAGTCCAGCAACTACAAGCAAGTGCTTGGACAAGGACATTCTGGCATAGACATTCTGAAGGCTCTAAGTGAGTGTAAATTGACCCCATTTCCTCTCACGTCGTAATGCCAAAGGCGGACCAAAGATCTCATGAACAAAGGTGTCTCCGTCTCAGACTTGAAGGAGCCAGAGCAGCTGGTTTTGAGTCTTTCCTCTTAAGTTCTACCCACTATACTCAAGTTCATGTCTTCATTCACCTACTATCTCATCCTCCATGTGTTTATTTGGCTCGGCCTGAATAGAGGTGTTGAGCATGTCGAGCTATGTTTTGATAGCTCTCCAGTTGCCCTGAAGGGGAGTGACGCTCCCCGCACTCCCAAGACCTTTCTCTGTGACAAACGATGAGCGCCTGATTTAGTGTCATCAAAGCAGTGACGGACATGCTGTTTTGCTTCTCAGTTCCTTGACGTGTCATCAGCCTGCGCCTTAAGGAGCCCACGCCATTGCCGGAGTGATGGGAGTGTTGCATCAGCCTGGATGCTGCGCTTTATTCGCTTTTAAATGAGGACGACAGAAACACATGTTCGCAGATTAGGTTTCCCCTGACATGGATAACGAAGGGCCAGGAATCGGCCCCATATGCCAAGGTACTTTAGATGAGTGATGATGTAATACTGAAAAATACTACGTGTGTACATTTGGGTCTGTGTATATGATCAAGAAACGGAACAGTTAAATGGCATTGCCCTGTAAGTAGTAGCAAAGAAACGGACGGTTCCATAAATCTTAATATAGTTGTATAAAAGTCTGCCTGCAGCCCCTTACTGATTTAAGATAACAAATCTCTCTCCCTCTTTATTCATCTTTCTCCGCCATCCCTTGAAAAGTGAGCTGCCGTGTGAGTAAAGGCCAAGCGATGGCTTCCCCAGCTCAGACATGAACACTGGCGCTCACCAAATCAAAGACCTGCTCTCCGTCTATTCCCCTCTCGCTCCGACGACTGTAATAGTTTAACAGAACACGTTAGGGATCTGAGAATTTATAGCACGTTAAGTCCAGCTTTTATCTCAGATCCCGGAGATTAATGTTGCACTGCAGTAAGGTCCCATGAATCGCTCGCTTTCTTGCCCTTTTGATGTATTTATTTTCACGTCCATAAATCCATGCATTAACTGAACCCATTGTTAAGCAGATGAGGGCCAGTGCCAGACGAGCAGGGCAGAGGCAGGAGGAGAAGTGGGCCGAGCAAAGAGGGATTAAGTTGTGGAAAAGTCAGAAAGCCCGTCCTGTCCTGGACCCACCGACATGTCATACAGGTTCCTACAACGTCCCCCTGACGCATTTCGGAAACCATTAAAGCGAAATGTTATATACGCTGCAATCATTTTGATTTACTGCGTTAAAATTACAACGTCAGGGCCAATATCCTGAACGGGGCTCAATGTGATAAGTCCTGCCTTTGTAACAAGACAAATTGTTCATCATAAGCATCAGAGGAGGGTAAGAAGGAGGGGGACTCGGGCTCCTGCTGAGACATCTCATCTTTTTCATAAGTGCTTGAATGAGCCTTTTCTTTCTCAGTCTCCCGCTTCTCGTTCTCCAGCGTTCCGCTATCCTGCCTTTGCCCAGCCTTTCATGTGGTGACTCAGTCCATCACCATGGCTTTACCGTAGGAGCCAGCCAGAGATGCCGCTCTGTTTTCCTCATCCATGGGTGAATGCTGTGTAGACTAATGGGGCTTCAGGCCAGGAGCTTCTGCCCACCCTGTCTCCTCGGCCTAATTAGCCTTACCATTACCTCATGTCTGTAGACAAAGGTCTACAGGGCATGTTACCTTGAGCTGTATTTCTCAATTACAGGGCTTTAGGAACCGGAGGGTGGGGAGCGTGAAGTGAACAGGGGATGCCCTTCATTCCTCCCTGGCCTGAGAACGCTTCTCACCCTGATGAGAATGTGTGGAAATCATAACAACACGTTCGGTCTAATAGCCGTAGCGCAGTTGGTCATTAGGCAGGGTGGCGTATGTATACACTGCCTGCTGGGGCTGCGCAGGTTAACTCCACTCTGTGTGTGTGTGTGTGTTTGAAAATGAGACCAAGGGGTAAAAGTTCATCTAGAGGGTCCTCTACGCTGAAAATTCCTCTGACACATGTGGAGCTAAAGCAGGGTACAGGGGCCGAGGTTGCACAAAGGCAGTGACTATGTTAGAGGAGTTCGGAGCTGTCCACCTGTATTTTCTTAAACTTTCTGCGCAGCCTTCCCCTGAGTCTTGTTGGCCTCTATCGAAGGAGTTTTAATTACACGGACTCTGAACTGTCATCTTTTAAGTTAGCACTGTGGAGGTCAGGACCTTCCTTGTGTGTGCTACAAATTAGCCTCAACACTGCCATGATTTCCCCTAGTTAGCGAGAGAGGCAAAAAATGTCCCTCGCCTTCCAAATGTGTCTGCTTTCATTGCAATGAAGCATTCTTTTAATAGTCTGTATTATCCTGATAGGTTTCCAGCAGCGCTGTCATTTCAACAACTTCGTGCAACTTTGCAAAACCCAATACATGCAAATGTAAGTAGCAAAACAGTGTTTCTCCATCTTCCAAACCATACAGCACTCGAATGGAATGCAGCAGTGCGTCCAGCTGGGGTATGAGAGCCCAGCAGCAGTAGCCATGCTGACCCTGTGTAATGACGGTAAGTGGATTACAAGGAGGCCCTGGTCACTGGTCATTAATATTGAGTCCGCTAGAGTTACCTCCATGTGGCAGCAGCTACACCACAGGGACTGAGCCCAGGACCTCCAAGATACCTGAGAAGCCCGATGCTGTGTGCAGGGCCTCGTGAAGATCAAGAGAGATCGGAGAGGATCAGTTTTGGTTTTGGATGAACAGTTGATTATTAAATAGTGTAGCGCTGCGTGTGATGGCCTCACCACTGTCAGCTTTATGTTTCATTAGATTTTTGGCATTTCCAAATCATATCATAGCTTAAGCTTTCCTTAAACAACGGTCCACTGAGGCAGTCACACTGACTTAGAATAGTTAGATTATCTGGCACAATCAATTCATGATCATTGGATTTGCTCACACGGTCTGATTCAATTTTTAACTGGCTAGCACTCGCATGTTCCCAGGTGACTATTGTGTTAGCCGTTAGCTCACAAGCTACAGAACCCTGTTCGGAGCCGGTTCCCTAATGTTCAGAACACAACAGGGGCTGGGGG